GCCTTCCAAACCGACCATGAATATTAAACATAATACAATTACAGCTTTCGGACCAGTTATTTGTCTTTTCAGCGGGCAAAGTTGATGAAATACGCGCTAGATAGGGATTCACAATATCTACCACTGGCTTCCTTCTGTCCCTGGAATTGGTTGTCTTGGCGTAGATTGGTGCCCATTTGCTGTGCTACCTGTTTCCCGGTGCCCAGGCCTCAGTCTGAGCGCTGGGGACACAGGCTGTGCCAAGGTGCGCTGCGGGCAAGGCGGGGCTGCGCGCGGTCGGGTGCTGCGGGCGGACGCCGGGTTCTTGATGTGAATTTGGACGGCTCGTGTGGACTGCACTGTGGTGTTTGCCATTTCTCTCTGTCGACAAGAAACCAGAGTGCTGCCTCTCTAAGCGGGTGTCATGTAAAATGCTTTTCCTTTTTCCTATGGGCAGAAGTTCAAGTCTGTTTTGGCCCATTTCGCGGCGGGGTCGGGGGGTGGGTGGTTGATGATACAGAATACACGAACGCTGTTTTTTGTGTGTTTTTTGGTGTATTTGTTTATTTTGCTTGGAGCCATCGTGCTGGTATCTAAGTACAATAGGAAAACAGATGGCAAACTTTGAACTTCTGGACCAAATTTGTGTTTGCCTTTGTCTCCTTAACAGCCAAACTGTAAATGATGGGGTATAAATATTCAACAGAGGGGCTCTTGATGAAAATCACCACAGCAAAATAGACCCTTATTAACCGAATACACACTGAGAAGTATTTGGGCTAAACCCCCCTTGGCCCCATCCTTTCCAGGTTCCCACGTGCAAGCAGCGCAGCTGTGGCAGCTCCAGGCGGACGTCCTTTCACGGCACTAACACCTGCCCTCCCTTTTCTCACCCACCAGGACCTACACAGTGTCTCTGAGGGCCGCTGGGGGAGACCTGGGCTCCCCAGCACATCCCACAGTCTCTCTGCCTTGTCCCAGCCCCGTCCCTGGACGCGGGGATGAAGGCCATGCTGCGGTCCTGGAGGTTGCCATTAGCGGGCGTTGCCTAGCTCGTTGCGTGTCCTAGCCGGGAAGAATTCGTGGATCTTTCCTCTGCGCGTGGAGGCTGCATGTGTGTTTGGAACAATGTGTGTGGGGGAGAGGGGTGTGAAGTGTGTGCACCAGGGAAGCACAGGCGCCCGTGCGTGCCCCGCCCAGCTTAGAGCGCCCCCAGGCCCCCCCAGCCGTGAAAGCAGTCTCATCTTGAACGAAACTTAAAAGCCGTCTTTATTACCCGCGTTCTTCAGTCGCCACTCTTCCCCAAGGTGACTGCTACCAATTTGAGTATGTCCTTCCAGAACTTCCTCTTTAAAATTTTTCAATTTTAAACAGGTAACCTACACATTCAAAATTTAATTAAAAAACACAAAGACATAAATAGGGAGAGGTTGGTCTTCTGGAAACGGCTAGCCTTTTCTGAAGGGTGTCCGCCCAAGCACAGCATCTGTCCCCCCGACCGCGCACCGTGGGCCCTGTGGTCTGAACGTAGGGCCATGTGTGGGTGACGGCTGCCTGTCACTGTGGGTAGAGCTGCCTCCTTCTCTAGTGGCCGCCCAGGGTCGCGCTGACTGGGTGCACAGTGATTGCTTCAGTTCACACTCAGCTGATGGAGCTAGTTAATTGTGCCATCCAAATCCATGACAACGTAGATGTTGTTTCTAATTTTTCCTCTAATTACCACTCCTTAATAGGTAACGTCTTTTTTGTTTAGGTTGCTTTTAAGACCTCTTTTGACTTTTGCATATTCCCACTTTATGATACTCTTAGATGGTGTTTCTGTTTATTTTGATTACTGTTCACTGAGTGTGAGTATGCATCTCTCATTAATTCTGGAAACACATTAAGCATTAACTAACTATTGCTTCTCTGCCACACCACTCTTATTTTTCCTTCTGGAACTTCTCTTGGACACATGCTGAACCGTCCCCTTCCATCCTTCCTGCCTCTTGACCCCTCATTCACATTTTTCATGTTTAATTTCTGTGCTGCACCCTAGGTAATTTTTCAGGTGTATCATCTAGTTCACAAACTCTCCCAGCCTACCCAATGAACTTAATGTCAGGGACTGTTTTCATTTACGGAGTGTGACTTGGCCCACCCCCGCGTCCCTGGGTGGGCCTGCGGCGAGGGGAGATCCGACCGCTGGCTCCTGAGACTGGCGCCTGCCTGCACCTCAGCCAACGGCGCGTGCTCTCCGGGCTGGGTTGCAGCTCGGGCCCTGGGCAAGCCACTTATTTTGTGAGCGCAGCCATGCATTTAAAAGGATGTCAGTTGTTTTTCATCCAGCAGTACTGAGACGAGAGGGCCAGTAAGTTGTCTGAAACAAGAAGCCCCATTCTCTGCTGCTAAAAGCAGTGTTGTGCCCCACCGCCTTGCATGCACGTATGCGCTACACCCCAGATGAAGAACTCCTAGAAGCAGAATCTCTAGGTCACAGGTGAAGTGTGTTTTTTATTTGTTGGATGTAACCACATCGGTCCACAAGGAGGGGCTGGCGCTCCCATCCGCCCCACATACGCACTTGTCGACCAGGCCTCGCCGACAGGAAGGGTCCGGCATTCTGCCAGGCTCCGTGCCGGGTGGACAGCGGACCAGGCGGCACTAAAGTCCAGTTTTATTTCTTAATTCCTCTCGTCACCAGTGAACTTGAATAACTTACACATGCTTAAAAGCATTAGTATCTCTTTTCCTGTGAACTGTTTTTTCTTCTCTCATTTTAATTTTGGGTTGTCAGCCTTTACTGTTAATTTGAAGAAATTAGCCAGTCCTCTCTGTTACCAGCATGTTCCCCAGTTACCAATATTTTTGACTTCTGTGTTTCTTATATGTAGAAAGGCCTTCCCTATTCTGAATATTTAGAATTTCATTACGTTTAACTCTCTGAGCCCTCTGTAATTTATTTTGGTGCACTGTTCATATGGTGGAGCTCTCAGACAAAGTCATGATAGGGGATTTTGCTTTTAACTGCTATTGTGAGTGAGATCTTTTCTTTGATTACATTTTTTTAAAATTAGTGGTTGTACATAAGATGTAGCTATTGATTTTGATATTAATTTGCATTTAATTCTGAATTATTATTGTCTTGGAGTGTCATCTCTAATGATAAATCTACCCACCTCTCATTTTCTCTAATTATATCTAATTGTTTTTCAACAGCATGAAGTAATAGTGGTGAAAGTGTAGGGTGCTGTTTTTTAAAGACTTTTCATTAGAAATGTGTTACATTTCATCACATTTTGTTTCGGCATCCATGGAAACGACCACGTGTGTTTTCTCATGGTTTAATAACCTGGGGCTTCACACCGACAGGCGGGCTGCGCGGGTTCGGCCGGCCTGCAGCGAGCTGCTGTGGGTTCCGGGAGCCACTCCCGTGTTCGGCGTTTGGGGCTCGGCCTCGCCCCCACACTCCACGGCCGCCCTGGGGGGAGGGAGCCAGCCGGAGATGGGCTGCTCCCCTTCTCCGGGGGCCGCGGCCACTGCCCAGGTGGCTTGCCCCTTGACAGCGGTCCCAGTTTGCTCTTTATCTTATCTGCCTGGATCTTATGTCCCTGGGGGGGTCAGTTTTGGTAATGTTTATTTTCCTGGAAAGTCATTTATTCATCTAAATCTTCAAAGTGGGAGATTTAAAAAATTAAATAGAAAACCTGACAAGATTATAATGACCAAAGAAACCAAATTTAAACATTAGGTCCATGTAGGTTTTTTTGTTCTTTTCCTGGACAGTTTTCTGAACATTTAGCATCACTCTAGAGTACTCGCATATAACGCTTTTTACTCTGAAGGCCCCTTTGTGGTATTAAATTTGCAGACATGCCTTTGCGACCTCTCGGAAGCTCTCCCGACTAGGTCCGTGTGTCCTGTGTGCGTCTGTTGACCCAGCAGGCACAGTAGGTCGTACTTAAGACGCTCTCTCCTCACGCTACGTGTAGCGTTGGCGCCTCTCGTCGCCACGCAGCCTGTGCGGTGGCCCCTCGGCCCTCAGCCTGCGCCCCGTCACTTTCTTTCAGAGCGTCTACAGGAGGAAGCTCACTTTGAGTCCCTTTCTGTTGAAAGAAAACAGGAACAAAAAACTCTTAATTATGCGTTCAAATTTGGTAGGTAACCTAGGTATAGAATTTTTAGTTCAAAGTAACTTTCTCTGCGATTTCTGAAAGTAACAGGGGCGTGTGTGCACAGGGCAGGGCACGGAACACATTTCAGGCGATCCCCTCGCACCACGTGTTGGGGTCGTGCTGACCACGCTGGCCCGAGGTTTGCCCAGCACCCTGCTCGGTTCCTCCTACGGAAACACTGCCGCACCGAGCGCCGCTCTGGTGGCTCTTTCAGGGGCTACGTGTGTTAGAGTTTCTCGTGGCGGAGAGATTTCTGTCTCAGCCTTTAACTTACCCTCCTGTGGACACTCGGCCATCACTTGTTATGGTTCCGTTGTCCTCACTCAACTACAGCTGCTCCTTTCCCAAATTTCGACAAGATGGTGACGGACCTACAGAGTTGAGTCAAATGCTCAAAAAATGCCCCCCACCCCCCGGCCCCAGGTAAGGGCTCGGGCAGAGGCAAGCATAACCGATCTCCTTTTGCCCCTAAGGGAATGTTATTCCAGCAGCAAAGCTCCCTGCGGGAAGACGGCCCTGCCTTGGATGGCCGGCGGGCGCCTGCACAAGGCCGTTCCTGCAGAGCGGATGTGGGGAGGGGCGGGGCAGCGGCCGGGTCTGTCCTGGGCCGCGCGGGTTCTGAATGTGCTTTGAAATCATTCTGGTTAAGCCTCTGGGGGCTCTGAACTAGTTCACATCTCTTGCATCTTGGCCTTCGACGTATGGCAGCGGACCAAGGAGGTAACGTTTTCTATCAGCATTCAGGCGTTTGCAGCCATAAGGGTGGTCGTTGTTTTCATAGGGCTGTTGTGCACAGACCAACCAGCACAGCTGAGGCGGAATTTGTCATTCGGGATTTAACCTCTGTGCTCACCTGGGGCCTTGCAGGGTGAGGATCCATGACCTCCGCACCAACAAAATCGCCCTGTCGCTGTCTGCCCACCAACTCGGAGTCTCTGCGGTCCAGATGGACGACTGGAAAATCGTCAGCGGCGGCGAGGAGGGCCTGGTCTCGGTGTGGGACTATCGGATGAACCAGAAGCTGTGGGAGGTGCATTCTCGGTAAGGTGGTTTCTCGGGGGTTTCAGCAATAACAATGCTGATAATACCAGTCAACCTGAGCCCGGTGTTGCACTCAGTGTCATCTAGGGGTTACAGTTCTCACCGCACCCTGGGAGCTAGCTGCTGCCTCCAACTTTCAGGTGAGGCTCAGAAGTGGCGCTGGGCAGCGGAGACCCATGTCCCCTCTCACATCATTAAACTTGCCGTGACTCATTCCCAGCTCCGGCGGAGACCTCGGACTCGCCACCGAGGGGCAGGCAAGATGGGGTGGGGGCGGGTGGCAGGCCAGGCCCGGCCCGGCCTGGCCCACCTCCCTTACTTCAAAGTCTCGACGTGCGCCCTGTGCCCGCCCGCTCGTTTCTTGGATTTTCCTTACACTATGTAGACGGGCCCTTAGGCCTAAACATAGTCAGACGTGAACTAGGAGAAATATGCAATCTCAACGTTTCACTTGAATATTCAGGGGATAAATAGATACTGTCCGAAGCACAGGCAGGTGGCTTCACAGGTGTGGGCCCATTAATACACGTGGGGCCTCCCTTGTCAAACACGCTCCAGCGTGCTCCTGACCTTTAGAGCAGAAGCAGCCTGGCCCAGAGCACGCGCCACCCACACCTTACCCACGTGCACCTGCTGTCGAGGGAGAGAGAGGACAAAGGGCCAAGCCGCCTTCTCCCCCGCTGTCCCTTCGGACTGCTGTTAAAGAGCCATTCTGGGACGAGCAGACTGTGAGAATCAAGGGGAGCGTGCACAGATGCTCAGGCCTGCAGGGAGGAACTGAGCTTCACTCCCCTCTGATGCAGCTCAGCTCACGGTGAACCAGACCCACAGGTAGGCAGCAAGCACAGCCTTCGTTCTGGGTACAGAGCCGAGTGCGAGAGGTGGTGAGGGTCAAAGGGCACCTGGTTTCTTCTTTTGGGCGGTGCTAGCGAGTGCCTCAGCCAGCAGCACCTTTTGTCGGACTGGAGCCCAGGACTTGGTCTGCACTGCCTGGCCCTGGCTGGCAGGTGCTGCCTTGCAAACTGGGAGCACAGGCCCTTTTTCGGACTTCTGTGGTGATGCACTGAGCTGCCACCAGGTGGTGCCAAAAGGCAACTAAAACTCCCACACAGTGGAGTCCCGGAAATGTTTGCTTCAAGGAATCCCTTTGAATTGCGCAAGAGCACTCACCAAGGCCTCCAGGATGGCTCCCCTCCCAGCCGACGTGGCCAGAGCGCTTGGCGCGCACTCCCTCCTTGGCTGGGCCCTTTCGGTGAAGCAGGGTCCATGAGGTCTTCCCGGAACTGCTGTCCTGTCGCAGGATCTGCCTTCCTGATTCGTGTGTGAATGCACGTCCAGTTCCACCGCTAGCCAGCAGCTTGTCCCTCGTGAGGGCACCGTTTTCCAGCAGAACAAGGCTGATGCATCACTGCCACCGCCGGCCACGCTGCTCCCTGCCGAGGGGGTTCTCCTATGAGTTCTGGTCCAGCTCTCACTTGGTCCGTTTCCTGTCCCACCCCACTGACCACTGGAGCGCCCCAGGTCCTCCCACCTCTCCCTTACCTACCCCTTCCTGTCGGTGGCACGAGCAGCCCGCCAGGCACAAGCCTGGGACCAGGGCTTCGCGGCCCTGTCCTCCTTGAGTCTGCCCCGGGCTCTGCTCTCCGTGCCTCCCGGCAAAGCCCTGGCCTGAGAGGGCCAGGCCCAGATGCCCCATGACTGTCACCATCCGTGAGTCTCCCGCCAGCCCGGCCCGAGCAGACTCGCCCTCATCCTCTCCTCTGCCGTTGGGCCTTCCGCAAGGCCCATGGTCTCCTGCTCCCCGCTGTTCTCCCAACCGCTGGGCCCCACGCCCTGTCGGGGCGGCTTGTTTCCCTTCGTGCTCCAGAAACACCAGCTCTGTTGGTGGGGATGCAGGTTTGTGGCAAAGGCAGGTTTCTAGTTGTTTGTATGGGAAATAACACTAACTAATAATAGAAGAATGAACTGTTTTGCATACTCCCAACTGTAAACCTACTATCGCCCCGCCCTGTGCACCTTGCCTTCTGGACCAGGCAGGCAGGGGTGAAAGGCTGCAGAGTGAACAACGCCTGCTACACAGACCTCAGGCCACTGCATCCAAGCGTTTCTGAGTGCGCCTTCACGGCCCAGGCCATGTGTGGTGTGTGCAGCCCCGCCTGCAGGACTAGGGGGCCTGTTACGGGTCCCCACCGATGGGGGGCCTGGCTCAGAGGGCTCGGGTGACCGGCCAGCTGGGGGCGGGCGGGAATGGGGGTGTTCTCTCCTGCATGCTGCTGAGCTCATCCTTTACATCCAAAACGCCCTGGGTTGTCGGGGGCAGTCGGCCGGAATGCAGAGTGACATGCAGACCTGGTTGCAGGGCTCGGACCTGCGCTGGGCACTAAGGCAGGACGCTGCCCCCGGGAGCCCACTTCCCAGCTCTGGAGCCCCTGGCAGTTCTGGACTCCGAGGCCACAGCAATGGCGGGGGGGCGCGCTCGGTCTCCAAGGCCCTTACCTTTCACGTGCGCTCTCCCCTTGTGTTCCAGGCACCCCGTTCGCCACATCTCCTTCAACAGCCACAGCCTCATCACGGCCAACGTGCCCTGCGAGAGGGTGGTGCGCAGCGCCGACCCGGACAACTTCGCCACACACAGGAGGTCAGTGGGCCGGGCTGGATGTTCAGAGGAGACCGTGAGGTTTGATTTTAGTGAAGAGAGCCCCACTGAGCCACAGTTCTCCCTACCGGGTGTGCCCTCGGGCACAGCCAAATACAGGTGCAGGGGCGAGAGAGATTAGCAAGCAAGGTGCTGAGTGCCTGTTTTATGCATTTCCCCACAATAGCCACTGCTCTGCAGGACAGCTACATGGGGTAGGGACACAGAAGGAGGCCTGGCCGTCCATGCCGAGAGGCTGAGACAAGGGCTCTGTGGCCAGTGGCCACGGCAGCAAACCTCAGGCCCCTGAGTCGAGGCCCCCTGCTGGGCCGGCTGGGCAGCCCGGCCGCCACAGGAGCCCGCCCCCCATGCAGGCGGCTAGGAGCCTTTTCCTGGAGCCTGGCTCCTGAGCAGCCTCTCTGAGGCCAGGCGCCTTGCCTCCTGGCTCCTAATTCCCGCGTGAAACGTGTCCACTTACCCTCTTCCCTCTGGCCGCGGGATTCGGAGCGCCTGGCACTGTGCCCGTGACTCACTGCTGCGGCAGGCACGGGCTGAGCACCGTCCTGTGTTCTCTCTAGGCACCGGGGGCTGATCCATGCCTACGAGTTCGCGGTGGACCAGCTGGCCTTGCAGAGCACACTGCCCATCTGCCGCCCGCCGTGTGACACCATGGTGGGTCACAACTATGACCTCGTGCTGGCCTTTCCCTATGACAGTGTTTAGGGAACAAGGAGAAAAGGAGAACCAATTTTACGAATTTGCAGACAACAGAGGAGTTGTGCTCCAGGTTTCAAAGGTTCAGGGGAGCAGAGGAGTGCACCTGTGTGACACCCACATTCCTGAGCTGCCTTCGCTTTCCTCCTGTCTCCATTTCCCTCCACGGCCTGTGAGCAGACCGAGGGTGTCGAGGCTTGTTTCTGCTTCCTCTGTGCCCTCTCTCATGACTTTGAGAACCACTCCCCCACTTCCTCTCTGCCCTGCCTCTGCTCTGCGCGGCCTCAGGGCGAGCCCCGGCCGAGCTCCCATGCTCCTGCAGCCACTGCAGGGCAGGGCCTGGCTGCAGCTCCAGCCAAGGCCAGGGAGTCTCACTGCCAACAAGGCCCTTCCGGGCCCTGGCTCCTGCCGGCGGCCACCTCTCCAGCCTCCAGCCCCTTCCTGCCGACCCTTTGGGTGCACTGGCCTCCGAGCCCGCGAGGCCTCGGCACCCAGCAGGCGCTTGGGTGGGCGACTGACGCCACTGCCACCCCCACCCGGTGTAAGCCTGGGGTTAGCAGTGCTGCTCTGCGGGGCTTTTACCACAGTCAGTAATTACAAATTTGTACCATCATTTCATTAGTGACTGTTCTGCTTACTGTTGCGTCTGCCACGTGTGGTACGAAGCAGGTGCTTCCTACATAAACATTCACCACGCAGCCCTCCTCCAAGCGCGGTGGAAGGGGCCTCTGCGGTGGGGCCCGGGTGAGGCGGGAGAGGGCCGCCGGGGCACCGCCTGCCAGGTCGCCGAGCTGGGCCCACACGGGAGGGCTGTTCAGTGCGACAGCAGCCGTTTCCCAAGGGCTGAGGGGCAAAAGCCAGTGCGCTGCTCTCGCTTCACGCTGTTCACAGCCGCTGCCGCCTAATGTGCCTTCCCAATACCAAAGCGAGACACAGCCACAAAGGAGCACAAGCCACGCTCCTGGTGGTTGAGCAACAGGCCACAGCAGTAAACACACTCATTAGGATCTACTCAGTAGAGTTTGCAAGTTGATACAACTGACATACATGGAATTTTGATGCCTTTTCAAGTACCTGTAGACCATGCACAGAAGGTGGCCCTGTAGGAAGACCACCAAGGAAATCTCTGTGCACGAGCCTGGTACCATGCAGGCCCTAGTCAGTACTCACAGCCCTAACACAGCGAATTGGAAACCAGCAGAAAGCTAAGTAATAAAAACACACACCTGCAAATTCCCAACACCCCAGAATTAACTTGGTTTTAAAGAAGGACATCAAAATGGAAAACTATGAACGCTCTAAACCTGGGCAACAATGGAAGCACAATACTGGGGCTGGGGCTGGGGCTGGGCCCGGCGTGACTCTGCAGAGGAACTAAGCTGCCACCTCAGAAAGCCTCAGAAGGTCACAGCGATCCCACAGAAAGTGGGAGGCAGGTGTTACATCATGAAAACATAGAACGAAACAGAAAACCAACAGTTAAGTTTCACAAAACCACACACCTCGTGATCAAGAAAAAAAAAAAGAAGGCAGAGGGGACTGTCAGGAACAGGAAAGGAGACAGCTGTGGCCACGGGGTAAGCACTTTCAGCGTGGGGCTAGTCTGGCCACGGAGGAGCAGCTTTGCTGCTGCACCCGAGTGTCTAGCGTGGGGAGCAGGTGCCGCTACTCAAGAGTCCTGGGGCCTTCGGGGCATGAGGGCTTTGGAAGGTCTTTCAGGTTGCTTACGGTCGTCACTGAACAGCCACAGTTGCGAGGACAGTGGCGCCGGGTAGAGAGCCGCGACTGGGGACTGCGGCTGCCCAGCCCGGATCGCCACTTTCTCGTGGGCCGCCTTCTGCGGGGCGGGGTGCGGCTCTGGCAGGAGCTTTCTGCTTCCTCTCCACCAACGCGCTTCATCAGTGAAGCTGGCCTGCAGTTGGCGGATGAAGCAGTCGCTCTCATTGCCACGTGGGCGCTGACCCCCCCTCGGCCCTGTGACCTCGCTTTCATAAGGTTTTCACCTCTCCTAGTCTTACTGCAGCTAGGCCACTGGGTAACATGTTTTCTTTAAGAAAGTAATTTCCGGTCTGATTTCACAGTGTTCTCCCTTCCTAGCCTTGTAGCAATTTAAGATCACTGAACAGTCTGAAAGAGATCAGACCCAGAAAATTATACTAAAATTAAAAATAGTTTTAACTATTGTTAATCACCGCCAGCAGCTGGTCCAGTGTAAAACGTTACAAGCGCAGGTGGTTTTTCCCTCTGCAGCTTGTGCATGCTTTCTCCCCATTCATGACGAGGTGCAGGTTTTGTGAAGGAGGCTCCGGCAGACCCAGCCTGGCACTGCCAGGCACGCCAACCTCAGCGTTGCCTGCTGTGGACGTGTCCCCAGGGAGACGCTGGCCTGATGGGGACAGGGGGCGCTCCCTGAAGACCAGCGCCACCCAGCTGCAGAGACCACCTGGGCTGCGCCCACCGCTCTGCCCGTCCCGCCTCACCTTTCTCCCGCCGGCCGTTCTGGGGGAGCTTCTTCCCGGTTCTGGGTTGGTAGCCGATCTCCCCTCTGTCGTCTTCCGCTTCTCATACTCCTCCCCCGCTGCCCCTGCAGACGGAGGGGACGCAGACCTGCCGCCGGGGACCCGGAGGGCCAGGTCCAGAGCTCTGTGTCTCGTCTCAAAACGTCGTATGGCTGCTGCCTTCTACTTCATGTGTCTGCTGGCTTTAATGTTAAAGTCTTCAAATTGACTGCTCAAGTGATGTGTCACCTGCTGCCATGGCGTACGGCGACAGTCCCCTGGCACAGCGCCCGCCCAGCCCTGGCGCGCTCACCCTGCGCGGTGGCCTGGTTTGCAGCCCGCAGGCGAGTCGCCCTTCTCAGAACCACCACTAAGGGGCCCCAGCCCAGGAGCCCAGAAACCCGCAAAAATCATATGGGAAGCTGGGCATCGGGGCCTTTTTGAGGATTTCCTCGCTGCCGCTAGACAGCCCGAGCCACGTGCTGCTGCTGCCCAGGCGACAGTTCTCATTTGAAAGGTCCTGGGCCCCCCTTCCCGTGGCGGCAGGGAGCAGCCTCCTGGGCGTCCACGGGCCGGAGGAAATGCTGAGCTTCCCTGAGCTCTGGTCCCTTCCCAAGGGGAAAGCTGCGGCCCCCAAGGTGAAGTCTCCCACATCCATCTTGAAAACCGGAGGCCCCGAATTTAAGAGGCTAGTGCCTCCCACTCTGTAATCAAATGGCAGACTGGCCCCACAATTTCAGAGACGTGGCTTCCCCGGTGGCAGCCCAGCCTTCCCAGGAAAGCTACCCAGGGGCCTCCACTGTGGGCAGACCTGGGGCCTGGGGCTCAGGCAGGGGCCGCCTCCCCCTCCCAACCTGGGCCTCTGCGAGGGGCCGCTGCTGCGGCAGCCCCAGGCTTCTGGAGCCGGCTGGCTGGCCCGCACCACGGCACTGTGAGCCACGCAGGGCCAGGCCAGATGGTTACCTGGCTACCGCCAGCAGGGGCCCGCGGCGGCCTGGCCGGGCTGCCTGGGAGGTGTGAGGTGCGGTGGCAGGCTCCCTCTCGCTAGGCTCCAGCAAGCACCAGGCAGGCGCCGTTCGCTGTCAGCCTCTGATGCCGAACGTGGGCTTCCAGCAGCCGGCTCTCGATGGCTCAGCACCAGGAACCTTCACTTTCCCTGGCGGGGGGAGAGGGAGGGAGGGAGGGAGGGAGGGAGGGAGGGAGGGAAAACCGCCCCCACCCCCAGAACTGAGCCTGTCCTTTCTTCCCTTCCCTTTCCTCGTGCTGGGACAGATGCTGTCTTGTCATTTCTCTAACTTGGAGGTGGCAGCAAACTGCTATTCAGCCCATCCCTTGACCTTACTGCTGCCTGTGAACCATTCTCGGGGTCGTACCGGAACCCAGCCCCTCGCTGATGGGGTCGGCAGGCAGGGCGGGGGCGAGCGGCCACCGGTCAGTCGCCTGCCATGGAACCCCTGTGGGCACGTGTTCACCGACTCCAGAAGAGCCCAGAGACGAAGGTGGCTCTGATGCCCTGGGGAGCGTGGTTCCAGCCCAGCTCCTCCCACTCCATCCTCCAAGGCCTCCCCAAGGTCACTGTGTGGGAGGACAGCTTGCAGAGCAGGTGTCTGCAGAACCCTTGCCAAGACGACTTGTATTTTTAACTCTGCAGCAGCCCACGTAAGGCGCTGTGCTGTTTGCCGCAACACGGCTTAGCTGCAGCCAGCAGTGCAGCTGGGTGGGGACAGGTGCCACTGCTCAGTGACAAGGACTGGATCCATGCGTGACCTGTCTCCCATTAGCAGAGCACAGGAAGAAGTTTCCAGTCCCCTGGACCAGAAGATAATGGAATTGTTTTGTTAAAGTCTAGCAATCATTTGTTCCTAAGAGGGTGCTTGGCCAAAACTGGAAGCTGCTGTAACCTTACTCTGCTTCCTTACCCATAATTCACGGTCCGCATGGCTGCAGAACGTTTCCCCGGAGCTTCTTGTGTTAGATTTCCATTACATAGCCTTTTGTAAACCTACCAAATTGCTGTGCTTGTGTCGAATTGCCCGTATCTGTCCAAAAGCTGAGTTCTGATGGCTCCCCCCCTTGGAACTATGGCAGTGCAGGGCGCAGCCCTGCTTTCAGCCCAATTCCTGGGAGAAGCACACAGAGAAATGACCTCACCCCACCACCTGGACACTCTCCCTGCCCATCCTCTCCCCCCGGAGCCTGGTGCCCTCAAAGCACTGTCTTATCAGCTTCCTTCAAATATTTGACTTTGCACTGATTTCGGCCTATTTCCTTGTAGTCCCTGGTGTAATTCCTGATAGAAGGCAGGCTGTTACAAATGCCTATGACTTATCACTCGCCTTTTTCAGAACAAACACCACTCACTTCCGGCTGCTCCAGTAAGGTGGCCCGTCTGGGGCCAGGGGGTTGCTGTACTTGCTCTGGGTCTCTGCCGCCAGAACCCCCATGCCCGGCGCACCCGCTAGTCCCCCAGGCGATAGGAGCCGTTTCCAGGCCTCCAGCCGCGTCCTCTGCACACACCACACACCACACATCAGGTGGCCACCTCGAGACCTGAGCCCACAGCAACCACTCTCCATGGGTCTGTCCAAAGCTAGTGGCCCCGCAGTCCGTGGGGAGTTAACCCGCCCTTTCTAGAAGGTTTATACCAACTAACAGCCAACCCTGGCCACTCCCCGAATGAACAAGTGCCCGGTGTCACCGACCCAGCACCCCAGGCCTAGCAGGAAAACCCGGGGAAGCAAGCCCTAACCTGTGTTCAGGGCCCCCCTCGGGGACTGAACGAATCAGCTCTCCTGGGCTGGGCTCCTGGTGGGCAACTCCCGCTTTGATTAGCTGTTGGAGGGGAGCAGCCCAAAGCCTCAAAGGCACGGGCTGGCCACTCCGTGGTCTGAGCCAGTGGAGCGGGGTGGGCGTGCGCACAGCTCCCAAATGCAAACCCAGGGCATAAGGGCCGATGGGGAGTTACTATTTATAAAGACACTTTACATTAATGGACTGCCTTTGTTGAGAAGAACAAAGCAAGCAAATTGGGAGCGTCCCTGAACATCCAGGCCTGCTGTGGCCATGGCCGTGGTCTGGCTGTTCGGTGACGCCGGGGCCCCCCTCACACAGGGCAGGGAAGGGTGAGGTGCACGGGGTGGGGGGCAGGGGGTGCATGGGGGAGACACTCGCTCTGGACAAGAGCTGACTAGTGCTGATCCCCCCATGCCAGGCTGCCCAGGGACCTTCTAGATCCCTCCTCCTGCTGGCAGCCAGGAAACCCAAGGGCTAGAGCAAGACGAGGGGAAGGCAGGGGAGTGGGAAGGGAGCTCACGTCCCTCCTTCCCACCCCTGGGAGCTGCCTGGCCGCTCCCTAGTTTCCAGGGTTGGTCTTTCCTACCAGGTCGTGGCCCCCAGAGGGCAGGAGGCAGCGCCTCGGCCCCTGACCTACTGCTCTGAATGTCTAAACACTTGTTGCATGAAGTGCTAGTCTAGGATGCAGAGCTCTGAGAGTGACTTCAGACGGCCCTCGTCACTTACCCAGAGGCTGGGCCGGCAGCCTGCTGGCTGCCCGCCTGCCAGCAGCGGAGCGCGCGGAGGCTGCGCCCACCTCGTATGACCGTGGTGGCGTGCCCCAGGCCAGCCTTCCCTGGCACAGCTGGCGTCAGAGGCCGCAGCTGCTTCCTGCCTCGTGCTTGCTGACCGTGGGACGCAGGCAGGACCTCAGGGTGGGCCTCCCCACTTGCGCGGTCGCGCGGGCCTGCCGCCCTCGGACGTCTGTCGCCACTGCTCTTTAACTCACCTGGCTGCTCCGTTTGGGTTTTTAACTTTAAATACTGACATTAAGTTCATCCTAAACAACGCATCTGCTTCTATCTGCATGAAACGGAGAAGGGGTTCAGGCAGCTGCCGCCGGGAGGGGAGGCTGGGGGCCGGGCCACGAGCAGGGCCAGACACCAGGGTGTGCCCACCCGCACCTCGCAAGTCGGAACCCCGATGCTGGGTGTCACGAAGTGCGACGAAGCACACAATGTCCAAACCACGAATTAAAAGTTCGAGAATGCAGATGGCAGCAGCTGCCGGTTCCCAGGAGACCTTCCTGAGAAGCCTAGAACCAGGCCTGCGAGCGAAAGGAGCCAAGCCTGTATCGTTCATGTGACAGCCCGGGGACGCCTAGAATGCACACAGTGGCCCCGAGGGCAGCAGGCCATCTCGGTGCCGAGCGCCAGCCCTCTGCTGACTCACGAGCCACAGCCACCGACAGACAGGAACCACTTTTGCTTCCTTGCCCCCACCCACAGCCCGTCCCCCCAGTCAGGTGACAGTGAGAGTTGAGAGACGCCTTCCTGGGACAGTCTCCTCTTCCGCTGTGCCCCGTCTACATGGCTGCCACTGACACTGGGGACTGCGCGCTGGGCGCCGAGCCCTGCAGCTGTGCCTCCTGGCAGGACGGGGGCTGCAGCACCCAGCCCGAGACCCGCGCCAGCCGGCCAGGGCTTGAACGCCGGGGCCGTGGCAGCACGAGGCCAGCAGGGGGCGCTGCAGCCGTGCGGCCCTGACACTGAGGAAGCCCACCGCCGCCGAGCCCCGGGCGGGCGGGAGCGAGAAGCAGCCTCCTTACTTCGCTGCCCCAGGCCAGGAAGGCAGACGATGGCTCCCAGCACTTCTTCAGGGAGAACAGCAGACACTTCACCAGAATAAACCCAGGAAGGAGAACAGGAACCTCCTCTTCCAAACCAGCTTTGGAACAGGAGTCAGGCTTTCCTCACACTGGGCTCGTGCCACCAAATGGCCAGGCCACTTGCGTGGACACACGGAACAGACAGGAGCCACGTTTGTTAAGAAACCCTGTACCTTTTTTATTAGCGATAAAAACTGTAAAGTCCCACACGCCATGCCCTGTACTGGGGAAGCAGGGTGAGCGGAGGGAGGCGGGCCGACTGTTTACAAGCTGCAGCTCCGGCCCCGCTGCCCGCTCGCCGCTCGCTGCTGGGGCCCCGCGGGACGCGGCGGTCAGTGGCAGAGGGCCATGGCTTCCATGTTAAGGAAGCGGACGTGCATCTTGGTCTCGATGTCAATCCCCTGCCAGATCTGAAACGGACAGAGCAGCGTGAGAGGGCCTCGCGCCGCCCCAGGCAAGTCCAGAACCATCTCCCCACCCGCCACCTCCGCCACCGACAGCTATGCCTGGCGCGGAAAACCCGCTAAGCAAGGCAGAGGACTGTCCACCCGCCGGCTCCTGTAGCTCTGACGCATGGACCCTCTCTGAGACTGTCACTGCAAATTATTTCTAAGTACAGAACCCAAGCTCCAGCTCTAAGTCACCTGAATCCCAGCCTCCACGACATCAGGCCCTTTTCACACAAATTCTTTGGCCCCATTACACCTCCTCTCACAAGTAAAAGGCCGGGAAGACCACCCACAGCACAGAATGTTGCAGGGGGCGGGGCAGGGGGTAGTGTTCAAATGAAATCGTCATCAGAAGCATTTTGTAAACCGTTAAAGGCTATGCCATTGTGAGGTTTTGTTAAACCATCATTATTAATTACAGTGACAAGTTTGGTCTTTATAACCTTCCTGCAATAGGATGTCACCCATGTTCCACGCAGACAAGCTCACACCAAAGAAAGGTAACTTCTGCCCAAAGAGCACGTCCATCACCACATACCTGGTCCTGTCCTGGCTGAGCCCCAGCGGACACACCAGCTGCCAGACCCTGCCTGCTGCCCTACAAAGTCCCACCACTCCCGGGCGGTGTGCTCGCCGCCTCCCAAGGGCCCCCGGGGCAGAGGGCAGGAGGGGTGCCGGCAGAACGGAGGGAACGGTGGGCAGTGACTCCTCACCACCTCCCTGCTCACGTGAGAACTCTAAACTCTCAAGCTGCCACCTGCAGCATCTGCAGGGACAGCCACCAGCCTGGAGACGGGAAATCAAACCGGCAGGGAGGCCAGTGTCGCACCCTCGGTGCCCAGGCGCACCTGCTTGGGCTGTGCTGTGAGGATGCAGGGGACACAGGCCTGGCTCCAGGTGGGCAGCTCCAGCCCTTGCTGGGGGAGCACGGTGTCCGCAGGGAAAGAGACCTGGGCGGCCAGATGGCTTCTGCTACATGCAGATGGCAACGGGGTCCCCAAGGAGGCTGGGGGAGCTCAGGACGGGGAGGCGCCGGCTGGACCGGAAGGCCCCCATGGGCTAGAGGCATGGTGGGTGGCCTGCCTTTGGGGAAAAAACTGGTTTCTCAGGAAAAAAGGAAATTTATTCTATCTTTGCCCTGCCCGGCCCTGGGGTGGCCTGTCTGCATGGGACGAAGGAGACCACAGACCTCCTTGCAGCCTGTCTGTCTCAGCTGGATGTGTGCTGCCTCGCTCGCACTTGCTGGTGCCTGGCCAGGTCAGGGGTGCAGGCTGGGAGGGGCCCGCTGAGCCGTCCCCCACTCCACGGGCCGCCCAGAGTCCCCAGAACCCCTCCACACACAGATCCTAGCTTCCTGTTTTCCTCGACTCCTGGAAAGGGCTTGGGGACACTGATGTTGGGGTGCTCAGGGTCCAAAAACCAGGAAGAGGGTGGGGGACCCCATCTCCCTGCAGGGGGTATCTGCCTATCAGAGCAGAGCAGAGAGCGTTCCCAGGTGGGGAGCTCATGGTAACAGTGGACGCCCACAAGTCGTGGCTAGAGAGCCCGCCACGGCCGCTGGAAGAGAGGGCCCTGTCTGGAAGGCACCGCAGGAGAAAAGCAAGGGGCAGGACTGCAGTCGTGGGCTCCAGGGCGCGAGGAAGGCCAGCCCTCAGCGGGCACAGACCCCCAGAGCCCTGGCTCCAGCTGTGAGCAGGAGGCTGCTTCGGAGAAGGGGCCCAGGGGCCCGCACGGAGAGCTGGCATTTTCACTGTGCGCCTTTTGTTCTGCTTACTTTGTTTTGACCACGTGTGAATGTTACTTTTTCAATGAAAAGTAAGTGAAGCCAGATTAAACTGTTCTCAAGGCCACGCCCAGGCTCGACCCCTTTCCAGGGAGGTGTCTGTCCCCTCCTGATCAGCTGGCTCCCCCTCAAGTCCCCACCTGGGCCAACCCCACGACATGCCCTCCCTTCCCAGGCACCCACCTTTAGGAAGTCGTCGAAGGTGATGCCCTCGTACACCTGGTCAGGCTCCTGGGGACAGAGCACAGGGCAGGGTGAGGGGTTGCCACCAGGAGACTTTGCCCTGCACCCCTCCCCCAACACATGGGTGGTCAAGTCACGAGAAGAGGGGCCCACTCTCGATTATTCGCCTCCAGCTTAAGGCTAGTGCCCCTGCACTGCCGTGCCAGCACCCGCCTCACCGGCTGGAGGGTGGGAGGTCAGGTGGGTTCAGGTCACCAGGCACCCCCATGGTCCCCAGGGAGGACCCCGTGGAGGAGGGTGGAAAAGGGAGCGGGATGGGTAGAGTCACGGGGCTCCCCTTCCCCACCACAGCCACCTCTGCCGGGGGCCAGCGGCTCGGCCACCAACAGACACTTCCTGCAACTTCCGGTCCTGCCTCTTCACATTGATAAGAGCCAGCTCTGGACTCAACCGAGCCCGCAGAGCACTGGGGAAAGGGGCGAGGGGACCAGGGCCGGCCTGTGCGCCCTGGGAGTCGCTGTGGTAACGCCTGGCCAAGCGCCCTCCCCTGCCCGGGGTCACCGGCCGTCCCCTTCTCCCTGTGTCTCCTGCTCCGGGCACACAGGGACTCGAGGGGCACTGCGGCTCCTGGCCCTCCTGCCGCAACTCTCAGCTCTGGCACAAGAGCCTCCGGGGCCCCGCCCCCGCCCCGGCACCCTTTGTGCTGGCGGCAGCCTGGCCGGCACCCTGGCGCCCGCCAGCAGAAGCTCAGATACACAGGCTTCTCTGGTCTGTGGTATTGGTCACCATGCAGCCATTAGGCAAAGGATGATCTATACACGCCATACAGAAAAGGCGCCAACGTATACACACGGTGGGAGAAAGCCAGCACATCAAAGAGCACAAAGATGTCTGCAGGCCCCACCCAGCGAGCCGGACCCTCACCGTCCGCCATGTGGGTGAGGTCAGCATGGAAGCAAGGAGGAACCAGGGCAGTTCACCTCCTTTTTGTGGAAACCAAAAATAAAAAACATGCAGGTCTGCATGGGGGTGCACACCGGTCTTTTTCTTTTTTTCCTAACTACCAAGGGAAGAAACCATCAACGGGGGCTCCCTTTCAGGGAGCGGGCCCGGGTTGAGGGGGAAGGTCGTGGAGAGACTTCTCCCTCGGTTTCTCCCTAGAAGCTGTTCCTGGGTGTTTTTTAAGGAAAGAGCAGCGGGTGCGCTCTAAGGGCGCCCACCCGCCAGACGCGGTCCCCAGTGCCTTTCAAATGCGGCACAGCACCACTGGCTGCTGCAGACCTCACAGCAGCCTCCCACGGTGAGCTCTGCTCCCACCCCCATCTTACAGGTACGGCCACTGAGGGACACAGAGGCCCGGAGGCGTGGCCTCCACACGTGTGACCGGATCCTCTACTCTGTGGTTTCTCCACTGTACGTTTAAAGTACAGAAGACAAATGGACATATATTTTTAAATGTTATAAACGCAACGAGTTCTCCAACGCCTGGGCCAGCCCTGTCCCGAGGGCCCTGCCTGCCCACGGGCACAGGGAGAAGTGGCCGTCCTCTCCCTGCAGCAACCCCAGGTCTCCAGGGCACAAGGAGAGCCACCTGTAGACAAGGCCCCTGGGCCTGAGCTCAAGGCTGGAGGGTGGCACCCTTGGAAGGAAGGAGGGCACAGGGGTTCTGGGACACACTCCAGGCTGAGGCCCCAGCTGAGCAACTCCCCCCAACAAGCCACTGGAAGCCTCTCCGGAGAGAACACTCTGGAAGGAAATCACCACCTGGTCAACAGCAGGCGCTGGAAGCCTGTGCGAAGACACACGCGTCCGCGGAGGCCAACGGTGCTGAACCGACGTGGCTGCCCCTCACCCGTGCGTGCACACGGCCCATCTGTTTCTCTGGCCCACGAGGACGCAAGGAAATATTCCCACAATGCAGAGGGGGCCCGCCAGTACAGACAGCCGCTGAGGACACGCGGCCGGGAAGCCGGCCACACCAGCCCCGACGGGCCCCCCGCCTGGGAGGCGGCGCACACGATGCCGGCACAGCTGCCAGCTGCCCACGATCCCACTCCGGCAAATTAAGAAAAGCGTCGCCACCTGAGGCTAGAGAGAGATGGGGAGCAATTTAAAGACGAGTGTAATTAAATCAAATGGGGGTTTGGCGCGACCAGCCAGCGGGGACCCCCACGCTCCCCACCGAGGTCGGCAGCCCTTCCGCGGCGGTGGATCTGCTGAGTGGGGCGGTTTCACCGAGGACAGCGGCCTCCCCTGGGCCCGAGCCGCAGACAGACAGAACACGGGCTGACGAAACGCCCGCAGCCCCCGCCCCGGGGCACATCTGGGCCTGCTGCAGCCCTGGTGACAGGCGGGGACACAGATCGCAGATCCCAGCTGGAACCCCCCCGCCCCACAGGCTGTGGTGAGCCCACAGCCATAAAGGTGTCAAAAGCGGCAGCTGCTTTCATACACAGGAACAGAGAGGGGACGGTGCTAGTGGGACCGCCGAAACCCAGGGCACAAAGTCCATCGAGACGGGCCCGTGCCGGCCGGGAGGTCCCTGGGGGCTCAGGGCCACTGGCCCAGCCCCACAAGGGTAAGCACAGTAAAGATCACTGTCCCTAAGCCTCAATTTCCCCACCAGTAAAAACAAGGTTGAAAGTTGATAAAATGGCTTTCTGTGAAGGACCTAGCACGGCGGCTGTGTACGCTCGCTGTGTGGTCACCCTGAGGGAGGGGTGTGTATGGGCGCCCTGGTCCTCCTGGAGCCTCCTGGGGGGACCCACAGGTATCTCCACATGTCTGACGACAGAGCTGGCGGTGATAGCTCACGCGGTCAAAGTTCCAGTCACCACTGACCACTGTGACCCCCATATTCAATGGTTCTTCCCTGGCGACGATTCGACCCCTCCCCCTAGGGACACCGGGAAACATCTAGAGGCATTTTTGGGGGTCACGCCCAGAAGGTGCGGCTGGCATCAGGCGGGCGGAGGCCAGGGATGATGCTCAACACCCCGCAGCGCCCAGGACGCCCCAGCAGACGGCTCCCAGGCCCACGCATCAGCAGCGCTGGGTGGGGAGACCCTGGCCTGACCTGCCCACGCTCATTGCAGGCCTGCCCGGCACAGTCCTGAGAAACGACCCGACCATTTCCATGCCAGTGTGACCCTGGCAAGCCTGCAGGCGTGCCCAGCCCTGCTCTTGTGCCCGCGGGGTGCTGCTCGCCCCCAGCGCCCCCGCCCGCAGCTGTGCGGGGCCCTGGCCACGGCAGGGCAGGTGGCCAGGCACGTGCCTCTGCATCCCTCCAGGGCCGCCGGGGCCTTTCCCCTGCACAGCCCACAGGCTCTGAAGGCCAAGCCCCTCTCCTCTGTTTTGGTAACCGCTCCCCCCGCCACCCCACCTTAGCTCCTCAGGACCCCTGACCAGGTGGCCCACAAGGGAGCTCCCTGCGGATCCCTGCCTCAAGGCCCCGGCCCCTCCGGAGCCACTCACTGGTAAACACGCTCAGTAAAGCGCTGACCTGCATGGTGCCGGCGCCAGCCCTGGGCCCAGAGGCCACACCGCTGGTCTACAGGGCGCCCTCCTGGTCCTGCCTGCCTGGCCCAGCTCTCCAGGGTGGGGCCCCCCCTCTGGCGGGTCCCCTGACGCTGGGAAAGCCCCACGCCGGCTGGGAGAGCAGTTAGCAGCAGAGCCTGGCAGAAGCCCGCAGGGGCAGGAGGGCACTCACCATCTGCCCCACGCAGACGCTGGCCGCCTCCATCATGGCCCCGTCGGCGATGGAACGGGCCGACTCCTTCTCGATGTGTGGGTTCCCCGAGAGCAGCTCCTCCACCACCTGCCGGCCGGGCAGAGACAGGGGACCGTGGGCCTCCACCCGGGCTGCGGGGCGGGGGGCGCCGGGAGCCCTGGCCGGGCAAGGGGCATACTTTACATTTCGATATTCTTCCAGGGTGATGCGGCCGTCGCTGTCCGAGTCATACATGTGGAACAGAACTGGGGGGAGGGCAGTGGGGGGGCTCAGTCAGGGGGGCAGGAGGGGAGCCCAGCTCCCTGAACCTTCCCGGCTCCTGTATCTACTGCAAACTGAGCAGAAGTCCCCAATAGTGAAACTAAATGTGAAAGCCATAGGTATGGTCAAGGGCAAAGGCCACGGGGCAGAGTGGCCACTTCCTGGTGGGTGACCTTGGGCAAGGGACCCCACTCCTCTGAGCCCCGGTTTCCCCATCTGTAAGATGGCGGCCGCGCCTCCCCTTCATGGCGCTGCAGAGGCTCGGTGAGGGGCAGCGGCGGGCGAGGGCCCCTGGCTGCCTGGCACGCTGCGCGTGGGCCATGCGGCAGGATCGCTGCCATGAAGACAAGTCAGGGTTACTTTACGGTGGTGTTCCTGGCGGAGCCCGGAGGGCAGCCATCTTCTCGGCCCTGGCTGAGCTGGGCTGCCCCCTAAGGGCGTGGGGGTGTTGGGGCCCCTCCCCCACGGGGACATCCGCTTTGTTCCTTTGCTGCCATGACTCGGCACCCCGCTGCCCACGGAGGCCAGGAGCTGAAGGGGAGGGGACCTCTCGCCGTCTGGGCTCGGCCTCAGGCTCACGAAGGCCCCTGCACTGGCATTTGTCCAGCGCTGACCAGAGGCCCTGGTCAAACATCCTTTCCTCTCGTCCTCACAGGAACCCACGAGGCCAGGGCTGCCCCGAGCCCATTTCTCAGACTGGGCTGTTGAGGCTCCAGGAGGTTAAGGTGTTTGCCCACGGCCACCCTGTTAAGGGAGGGGAGACCAGGGGCTTGGACCCAAGTTCATCTGATCGCGCAGCCCCTGTGAGCCCAGACCTGGCCCTCCCTTCACCTGGAGGCCACAGACACCCCACCTTGGGACACCCCACCTCGGGACACCCCACCCGGCAGCTCCCACCAGCCCGCACATCCCCCATCCAGAGCTAAACACGGCCTAGCCCCGCCGTGTCCCTTTTCCCGCTGGCCAGTCTGTTGGGGGTGGGAAGGTAGAGAAGGATGTCAGAGTCATGGGAAAGTCCACGGGGAAGGGACACGTGACACGGGCCACCTGGGCCCCTTCTGCCGCTGGCTGGCCTGGACCACAGCCAAGCACTCTCCACAGCCTGGGACGGCGGAGGCTCCTCCGGGCAGATCACCCGCGGCCCCGCAGGGACCGTCCTGTGAGCCCGCACACCACGGCCGCGCGTGGGTGGGGAAGAAACACACTTTGAGGGGACCCCTCCCGAGGGCCAAGGACACTGCCTGTGTCGTCTCAACGAGCCTCCAACCAGCCGGGCTTCACCATCAGATCCCCACACTCAGGCTCAAGGTCACACGGCCGCCCAGGGGAAGAGACCGGATTGGAACCTCGGTCTGTTTGAACCAAGGGCCTTGCTCTTTTCTCATCCACAACCTCTTCTGTTCCCAGGAACCTCCAGCTACTGAGGGGTGTTCAGGAGGCCGCCGCCACAGGGCAACTACAGGGGACAGACACACCTGGCACCTGCCGCAGGCGGGGCAGCTGGGTCCAACCTCCCCGCCCACTCGCCACACCCCCCACCCCCATGCAGAATGCGGAGGGGCACGCACATCGCAGCTTCTCTTTCCGGCACAGCTGCACCTGCTCCTCGTCCATGGTGATGTCGATGGGCCGGAAGTACGCCATAATGGTCAGAAAGTCCTCGAAGTTGATCTCGTCGGCCAGGCCGCTGGGCCCCTTGCGCAGGTTCCTGTGGGAGCAGCGAGGGCATGATAGAAATGAATTAAAAATGACCAACAGCTCAGAGAACTCGGCTCTGCGGGATGACACCTCCCCCTCCATGGCTGTCCTAGCCTTGGGTGCTGTTTCCCAGCAACCTGCTGGTGGGGGCACGGGGGTGCCGGGAGGTTCAGCCGATCCCCTGTGAGGTCCTCCCAGAGCTCACCGCCGGGGGCTGGGTGCAGGCTGCCTGGCTGTGCAGGCGTGGGCACTCCCGCGTGGGGAAACCGAGGCACAGAGCAGGACTCCCCCAGACCCACCCCCTGACCCTTTCCCTTTAGATCGGGGATCGGCAAACTGCAGCCCACGGGCTGCCTGTTTCTGTACAGCCCATGAACCAAGAAGGGTTTTTACATTCTGAAATGGCTGAAAGAATATTTGGGGGAAAAAAATCTGAAGGAATAGCAGCATTTCACGACAAGTGAAAATTACATGAAATTCAAATTTCAGTGTCCATAAATAAAGTTTTATTGGCATACAGCCATGCCCAATTCCTTTACATATCGTCTGTGGCAGCATTTGTGCTATGAAGGCTGAGTTGAGCAGCTGTGACAGAGCCTAAAATATTTGTCCCCGGCCTTTTACAGAAAACGCGTGCCGACTCCCGCTCCCTGGCGGCTGGCTGAAGCGCCACTGAACCAATCGGCAGCCCCGAGTAACCCGTTTACTACCCAAACGCAAAGTTCACCGATGATTTCAGGTTTTTTAAAATAAGTCAGGGCGGGTTTGAGGCTGTCCCTATAGATGAGCTTTTCTTAAGGGGCAAGAAAGGACTGGCGTTCGGGGTGGGCTCAGGGCGCACGTGACGCTGGGTCTGCCCTGCGCCCTGCACAGCGCCTGGCACACAGGGGGTCCGCCGCAAACGTGCGTGGCAACACCCGGGCCGGTCCCAGGCCAGCGTGGGTCTTGAGACAACAGCTTTGGGGTTGGTTTCAACCAAACACAGGCTCCTGACCCCTGGCCACCAAGCCCTCACCACGGACTGACTTCAACAGCCACAGTCCGGCGGCCATCGGAAGGGCGGGGAGGGTCCCCTGCTCTTACTGGGCATCCTCGCAAAGGGACACGTCTCCCGCTGGCCCGGGACAGCTAACAGTTACGGGTTAGTGCTCCAACTTTGCTTGGGTTCCACCTGGCTCACGACTGTCCCTCAGTTTAAAAGGAACTGTCTGTGCTTCTCTCTTTGGGGACCACTTACTCTCTTTCAGACACTAACTGACCCAGAAGTGGGCTCCGCGTGTCACAGTTTACATATCTTGCGAGTCCCAGCTTTCCAATGCCAGGAGATTTTCCAGCAAGAGCTGGATCCCCAGCCTGGAACACGGAAGGTGGATGGTGAAAACTACAAATCTGAGGTGAGACGAGGAGGTCTTCCCCCAAACGCAGGGCGCTCAGTCTTTGAGAGTTTTCTCAGTCCCCCCCTTAGGTCTTCTCTCTTACAAAGCTGCCTGCTGCTCCTCCCGACAGCCTCCGTCATCTCAGAGTTCCTGCCAGGGGCACGGACCTAAGTCATAGGATATAAAAACAGCCCCGGGAGTCACCAGGCTCCTCAGAGGCGCCTCTCAGCGTCGGGAGAGGCAGGCCGTGTGTCCCTCTCAGGGAGTCAGAGGCAGACTGCTCCGCCATCTTAGTGTCCCTGGGAGGTCCACGCGAGCCAATGTCATGGTCTCCAAAGGCCGTGAGAGTGCAGAGGGCGAGGAAACGCAGACCCAGCCCCTGGAGCCAGCCGCACCTGCTCTCCGCCCCCATGTCCTAAGTGGGGCGCCCACAGCCAGGGCCCTGGAGGAAGGCCTCTGCATCTTCTGGGGCCGCCTGTGGACTCCCCACTCCCCTGCGCTATGAGCAGGCGAGGCTCAGGAGGCTCAGCGTCTTGCTCAGGCCCCACAGCCCAGGCACAACCAGAGCTGAGCAGTTCAAGTCCGTGTAACTTGCAGCAGATTGGGGAAGTCCTCACCCACCTTATGGCCGTTCCCTTCCTTCCCCTTTCTGCACGTTCTCCCTGTGTGCCCGCAACCCCTGCAGCCCCAGCTGACTCTGAGCCTGAGAACTCAGCTCGTGTGCACCCAGATCCCTGACCCACAGAACTGGTGAGATAATACATACTCATTGCTTTAGACTGCTAAGTTTAGGGCTAATTTGTTATGCAGCCATAGCTAAGTAATACGGAGGCCTAGAGGAGCTGAGTGAGCTGCCCAATGTCACCCAGCGACGAATCCAGAACTGCCTGACCCACCCCGGGCTCAGAGCTCCTACCCAGCACAGCGCCCCCTCTCCTCCGCATCAGCGCGGAGCCTGTTCTGAGCACACGGGGGCTGTGAGACGTTACCAGGGCAAAATATTCCCCCAAGGACAAGGTCACCTGCCACTGGGTGGCTCCAGGAAAAGGGCCCACCTGTTGTCAAAGAAGGCACGGACGATTTTGGATCGGATCGGGTTGAGCTCCAGGTCAGGGACATTGTTGAAGTTCTCCTTGCTGGGTTCCAGGAAGGACATGCACCGGGAAAAGAGGGAGAAAGAAAGCAATGTCATAGGGCATGTCACCACTTAGCAGGGCCCTCAAGAGTAAGTCAGGGATAGGACTAGAACATGCTACACTGATCTGTCGCATCCTCTAACACCCGGACCGGCAGGAACAGGGAGGAACTGAGGCTCAAAGATGCGCTGGGGAATCCAATAAACGTCCTGGACTTTCGCCTCCAGGGAAATAAAGGGATGTAAGAACCGCATGCCATTCCAAGAGCTTCGAGACACTTGAGGCCCATGTACCCCCAGGTAGGGGGACCCTACTTGGGCCACTGTGGGGTCAGAGCAGCAGGGTGCTGGCTTGGAGGTTCAGAAAAAACAGTCTGGCAGGTTCTCGGGGTGTGAGATGTCAGGGTGCCACCTGACCTTGCAATTTCACTCCGTGGTCTCTGGCACCCAAGGGAAATGAGAATGTGTGTTCACATAAAAACATGTGCCTGGATGTTCGCAGCAACATTATTCCTAACAGCCATAAGGCGGAAACACCCAGACGTCTGTTAACAGGTACTTGGATAAATAAAACGCGGGTCCATCCACACAATGGAGTATGATTCAGCCCTAAAAAGGAATGAAATAGGGATATATTTTGCAACACAGATGAAACTTGAGAACATGATGCTAAGTAAAAGAACCCAGACACTGAAGACCACGAAGGGTCTGATTCCCTTTCTATAGCACGTCCGGAACAGGCAACTCCACGGACACGGGAAGCAGACTATTGGTCTCCCGGGCTGGGGCGCTGCAGGCGATCGGGCATGCCTGGTCGGGACCCGGCTTTCTTTCAGGGCGGACCAAGTGTCTAAAGCTTGACTGTGTGCCGTACGTACAGCTCTGTGAAGACACGAAATCCAGGGGACTGGACCTTTTAAGGGGTGACTTGAAGGCTATGTGAGTTGTGTTTCGGTAAAGCTGGCAAAAAATAAAAAGATGCTGACTTGGGACAGGAGAGGGTGAATCAGGCAAACACAGCTGCCCTGTCGCTGGGCACAGGTGTCTCAGGGTTCTCAAGCAGTGGATTTGTGGGCGCGGAGGCAGTAAGTCCCTCACGTACCTGACCTTCCCACACAAGGCCGCCTTTGTTCTCGGGATCTGCTTCCTGTCCACCTCCCCTTTCCCCTCACCCCTGCTCCATGGACTTTAATGGGCAGTAGCCTTGGAAGAGACCCAGGACACAGGCCAGTACTCCAGGGAACGGGGGACAGGCCCCGGGGGTGGGGGGTGAGGATGTCAGCCACTTGAAACCAGAATGGCCAGGCGAAGGTTATTCATTGGACTCAGGACTCAAAACGAGAAGAAAGCGAGGCTGGGAAGGAGGACGTGCCGCTCACGCAGAAGATATGCACTGTGACAGTCGAGAGGTTCCCTAAACACATGCTGGCCCCTCTGCCCCCTCGTGCAGTAAGAACCTGGCCCTAGGCCCGGACAACCTCTGTCCTCTGCACCCCCGCACGGCTCCCGTCCCCTACGCGGCGCTTCCGGCGTGGCCAGCGTTCAGTGTCTGGGCACACTCAGGAGCCTGGCATCAGTGGATGCTGACGTCTTAGGTTCCTGGATATCCAGTGCTGAGGAAGGGGGAGACCCAGGACTGCCGGCCTGGAGCAAAGGGAAGTGCTACTGAACCATGAAAAGGAATGCGGTGCCGGCACGCGCTGCGAAGCAGGCGAACCTCGGAAACATGGCACTGAGTGAGAGGGGCCAGACACCGAAGGTCGCATACTATGCGGCTCCGCCCACAGGCCACGACCGCAGCAGGGAAACCCACAGAGACAGAAAGCAGATCGGCGGTTGCCAAGGGCTGGGGAGTTGGGGGTGACGGCTCATAAATACGGCACACCTTTTGGGGGAGATGAGAATGTTCTAAGCTAACATTTATGTGAATTGTATCTCAGCACACAGCTCCTCTGATAGCTCATTCCAGGGATCTGCTGCCGGGGAAGAGAGCGGGGGGAGAGAGGACGGAGGTAGGAAGGACCTCATGGAGCCAGGCTGTGCATCGAGGAAAGAAAGTCAACCACAAAAGGAGGCCTGACCTCGCGCTGAGTGCAGAGGGGGCGAGGCAGGTGCTGGGCATCAGCAGGCCCGCGCAGCTGCCCTGGAAGTGTGGCTGCTTTGGCTCCCTTTCTTGCTAGGGCCCTGTGAGCACCGCACTCTGGAAGAATCCCACCTCCTCCTCACCACAGTCATCTACTGACTCTCGGAGCCCCCATTTCTCATCTGTGAAATGGGTGCAAAACTAGCACCTCCCACGTCAGAGGGGATGTGAAGTCAAGCACAGCTCAGGGCTGGTCCGGGCCCTGCCCCACCAGGCACCTGGACGCAGGCCAGTCACAGCCATGTCTCCGAGCTGCGGTCTCTCCTCTGTAAAACGGAGACGGCGGGACCACCAGGCAGTATCACGGGGTTGATGAGATGGCTAAATGGAGAAATGCACGTGAGGCGCAAAGTATACGGCCTGACAGACACACAGTGAGCTCTTAATTTTAAAATAATGAGAGTAAGGATTGTAATGATACTAGTAATGGTATGGACAGCAGCTCAACGCCTCTGTACTCCCAAAGGGCCAGCTACAGCTCCAAGAGCTTTATGTTATTATCTCATAAGGGAGGAGCTTATCTCCATTTCAACAATGGAGAAACTGAGGCAGAGAGGTGAAGAGACTTCCTACTGCTAAGGAGGATACGGACGGACGGACAGACCTGGGCAGCCCACGGCAGCCCTGGCGGGGCAGTTCCCCCAGAGCGTCAGGGTTGTTTGCCCTCAGGGACTCCCCCACCCCATTTACTATTGCCAACCTCCCCTTTCAACAAGTTGGGCACCGGCCTTGCACCCAGACCCTGGGAAAGGCTAACAACAGCTCCACGCCCCATAAATGCTGGTTTCGGTCTTACTTTCCCTCCTCCCTGCTCGCCCCCAGGTGCCCTCTGCGCAGGTTGGACCAGCTTGGCTGCAGGCGTCTGAGTCATGGAACCGGCTCTACTTCGCCTGGGAACAGGTCCTTGCTCTGGGCCAGAGCTGCCCAGTGACCAGCAGGGGCGGCTGACCCAGAAGGACGCCAGGGCACGCAGCTTCGCGCCTCCCCCGGGGGCTGGAGCCCGGGGTCTAGTTTCCCCCTGGCATCCCAAGAGCGTTCTCCATGCCCGGCTCTGCTACATGCCTCCCCGTTTTAGGGGCAAGAAAACAAGGCCCAGAGAGGTGCCGTGACTAAGCTGCGGCCACACAGCTAGCAGGAGAGCTCCAAGCCCGGCTCCGACCGTGCACTCCCTCACTCGCTATGTACTCGGGACCCAGAAACAGGGCAAGGCCAGCGCCCAGCCCATGAGGGAAGGAAGGGGGAGCTTAGAAGCACCACTGAGGGCTGGCTGGATCCTATTCAAGCCCCGTGGTGTGCATCAGTTTCCGGTGGCTTTGAGGCTCAGCGCAACTGCCAAGTCCTCCTGCGGGTTTGAGGTCTGGGGAGGCCCGGCCACCACCAGGGCTTCCTGACCCCAGAGCCGAGGGCGCAGCAAGGCCCTGCTCTCAGCCGGGAAGCCCGGCCTCCGCGACCTCCGCTGTCAGTCCCTGAAGCACTAAGGGGCTTCCCTCCTTGCTGCCTGTCTCGGCCCCTCCCTGTACTCACTGGTTAGCCTTTGACAGTTCCCACACCGGGCCATGCAGTATAAACAGCAGGAATCCCAGGACCCCCACTGGCCGTGAGGGAGGGACCGCACCTCATTTAGCATCCACCCGTCTTCCCAGGTGACAGCGAGCCCCTCACAGTGCCGTCCCTGGACCAGCAGCACCGATGTCCCCTGGGAGCCTGTGAGAAAGGCAGAGTGTTGGCCACCCCAGACCTGCTGCCACAAAACCTGCCTATTCCCACAATCCCCAGGGGGTCCAGGTGCCTGTTACTGTGGGAAGCGCTGGCCCCTGATTCCAGGGCTGGGGATTCCCTGACCGCACAGTGTGGTTCTCCATCCACCTGCCTTTGCACAGAAGATGCAGTCAGCAAAACGCCCTGGCCCCCTTGCCCCAAGGCCAATGTCTTTTTCAAAAGCTGGGTCACGCACTTTCTCCCCTTCTCCTGAAACTGCCCCATGCCGGACCCGGCCCGCCTCTCAGCACCTGTCCCTGAACTAGGACAGTGGGAATGAGAAGGATTCCGGCTGCTCTGGCGCTGGCGTCGGCAGCGGCCAGGGCACAGATGTGCCCCCCGAGACTGAAGTGGGGACGCCGCAGAGACGGAACCTGGGCGTCGCCGGCAGCGACAAGCACTTGGCAGGCAAACTGCACAGGGACAGACCAGAGAGAGCCGGTGAAAGTCTCCGTGGGGCAACCTTGTGGCGAAGGTGACTCAGGAGCAGAGACCCGAAGGAGGCGGGTCCACAACCCTGGAGGACACCCGGCGATGTCCGGAAGCGTTTTTGGTTGTCACATTGGGAGTGGGTTTGGGAGGAAGCGGCCACACAGGAGGTGGCCCATCGAACAGGAACCTGCGTACACACAGGGGCCTCCGTGGCTCTGGCTTATTATCATTTTTTGGCGGATGGAACGTTTTCCGCAGAGATGTGCCATTTTAATAGGCCCCCAATGTGACTGCATGTCTATGCCACAGTTGGGGCACTAAGGACAGAAGCTGGGGGTCCGGGGAGGAGGCTGCTGCCATAGCCCAGGTGGCCTGAATGGGACTTCTGGGAGGACGGTGGGCGGCTTGCTTGGGGACACAGGAAGTGTGGGACGGGGATGTCCAGTGGACGGGCCATTGCTTCATGAGTCTTGCTCGGAGATGTCCCAGCCCAAGGTACAAGCTGCGAATGAGTCTTCATTTTGGGTCCTTGCCACGGTCAAGACAACCCTCTGTGACCTGCCCCCAACTCGCCAGTTGTCCTCTCACTACTCAGGCTGACAAAGCTGGGCCCCATCCCTCTGCCTTTGAACTTGAGGTCCCCTCTGCCTAGAGCTCCATGCCCTCCA